TTGTGCCCACTTTGTTAGGCTAGATTACCAGCATTAATTTAATTAACTTCATCTTTTCCCCTCTTCCCCCGAGGTATATGCACATCTAATGCATTTCTTTCTGTGCTAATTTTTTAAAATCATAAACCAAGTATATCTGTCCTGTGTGTTGCATATCTGTACTACATGCACTGCTTATATGCTATTTATTAATATTTGCAAAATTAGTTTCCACTATCTTAATAAACCAGAATTAATCCTATTCACCAATTGTCACTTACTTCTACACTAAAAATAGAGTATATTAGCATTGGTTACTGCTTCCAGCTCAGCATTTCAAAATAAATCATTACTCCTTTTTAAATGCTTTGAAGCTACAGAAACAAATGCAGCCTCTCCCCCTCCCAAAAAGATTCTCAGTATGACTGTCAGTTGATTACTGAAGATAACCTTGTTTTCCTTCTCCTGACAGGTTCTGGCATTAAATTATACTGGCATTTGCACAATTTCATGTTTGTGATTGAGTTCCTCACACCCTCTTCGCAGAAAAGACAGTGACTTTGTAATTCATGTTCATGGGGGGCTGGGGAGGGAAGGAACAAAACCATGTACCACTGTTTATTTCTTTATTGTGGAAACTGATATCTCTGACCTTTTTTGTATCCCCCCTCTCCACGCTAACAAGACACTTTTGATATTGGTATTCCCTTTTTGGCGGGGTTATAATGATTAGGCACTTAGAGACTATAATTCAGCCATCAAGTGTTGTTGTGAACTGTTGCATATTTTCCTTAGTACTGTGTGGAAGGTATTTCCTCAGGAACACTTGTTCATGCTTCTGTTAACTGTAAGTCTCTCTCCATTCCCTTGTGGGTTCACCTGAGGAATCAAGGAATAAGGGAACCTTGTACAGTTAATTTGCAGAGGATGAGCCTAAGGAGAGCCATGTATTTTGGTGACCAAGTTTTAAAAGGGAATTAGGCATCCTGCTCTTACACCATTATGTTTTCAGCATAGAAAATTCTGTTCACTTTTCCCCTTTGAGGCTGTTTCTGTTGTTCCTTTGAAATGTGCGGTTAGAAATCCTCTAGCAGCCTTAAATCGAAGAGTGTGATTTTTCTTTCTCTCTCCTCATTTACAGAAGAAAGGAAAGTTTCTTTTGACCCATTGGGGCCGTCAAGGGCAGGACTTTTCAGCTATTTTCTTTTGATGAGAGGTTTGGCTGGGGATAACGGTGAAAACTTTTCTGTAGAGTTTTGTTTACAGCCCTCTCAGGGTCACTGAATCTTTTAGTTTTCTGAAGCCCAGCTGCTTTTCAGCACACCTTACTTTTAAGAAAGCAATTTGACAAGGGCCTTTCTTTTAAAATAGATAGGTTGTGTTTTGGTGGCCTCTTGAGTTTTATGTATTAACTTAGGAAAAGATCATTTAAACACATTATTTAATTACTTCTGATTCCTTAAAGGAGCTGTGATGGAAGCACCTTGTTCTAGGTAGATAACTTTTTTTCCTCTCAGGGAAAGTTAGTGTGGTTTGGACCACTGGAGCATTTAAACATGTCATTTAGAAGAAGTATCCGAAGTTCATGTGAACAGTATTGAGATATTCACAAAAACTAACTGAATTTAAGTCAAATAATGCCTAATTTTTTTTATGAATATGGTACAGCTCTAGTCTTGGCTTTCCTAAAAACACATGTTAATGTAAAATTGTTTTGATAAATGTCTAAGAGTTCCCAACAAGGGGTTTGCAATAAGAAAATTATTTTCTCGGTTGACTTGCAACCCATCTTAATAATTTTTTTAATACAAAAATCAAACTTAGTTAATTGTTTTTCATTTGCGAGAAAGTGTTGTATGTAGGAAGTGGGAAGACTTTCTTGTTTTGATTAAAGAAAAAAAGTTTAATCTAAAAGAGATATAACTGTAACCTATGTGAAGAAGAAACTGTGTTCCCCTAAACAGTGACTAGAACTTGGTTACACAGATGTAGGTCCATTTGGTGCAGTATTGTGAACTAAACTGGTAATTTAAATCTTTAACTTCTAATTTTTTCTTCTATTTCAGCACAGAGAATTCATGAAGGTCAATATGGTCCAAATCAAATTTTAAACAATTAAAAGTACTTCTTGGTCCTCTTTTTTTCGGAACAAAGTTTGGAGAACGACTAGCGTTCCTTTGGAACTCAACCATTAGATTAAGACCTCTCCTGCGTAAGACCATGTTACAGTTATCAGAAACTCTCAGTAATTTCTTCAGGAGTATATAACATCAAAAATTGTGTGAGACTTTTAGCCAGTCTTCCAGGATTACTTTAGTTAATTCTCTGTCTGCCATCTGGATTCACCATGGTAGAAAGTGAGCCATAAAAATGTGGGGAAAAGATAGCCAATGACAAAAGAACATTTTTCTGGGCCAGGACTAGTACTTTAAAAAGTTTACTGGTCCTGACTGTGTTTGCTTTGGTTTTCTTATAGAGTTTCACAATCTGGAGGTCATGAAATATCAGAAATTAAACCTGTCATTTTGATTGTCTTTTTTCCACTTTATTTTGAATTTTATTTTTTATCTCCTGAAAATGTAGATCAAGAAACTATTATTTTGTACTGTCTGAAAATCTGACTGCTAAGTCTAGTGATTTGTGGGAACAATAGCTTCTACAGTAGGCAGAAGTGGGAAAAATGTGCAATGTCCGGTATTCTCTGATTTTTCTGGCTGCACACTGGATGAAACCCTGGCGTGGGCGGGGGGGAGAGCGGCTGGAAGGCCGGTCCACAATTGGTGCTAGGAACCTGTGATTTTTGTACTGTCTGAAAATCTGACTGCTAAGTCTAGTGATTTGTGGGAACAATAGCTTCTACAGTAGGCAGAAGTGGGAAAAATGTGCAATGTCCGGTATTCTCTGATTTTTCTGGCTGCACACTGGATGAAACCCTGGCGTGGGCGGGGGGGAGAGCGGCTGGAAGGCCGGTCCACAATTGGTGCTAGGAACCTGTGATTACACTGAAGCCTGGCGGGGGAGGGGGAGTGTCTGGGACTCCCAGCCACTCCCGTGCCGCCACCAGGCTTCTGCGTAATCACAGGCTCCCAGCACCGATGGGGGGCCCCCCC